GCCTATACCACATCTTTTTAATCCAGTCATCTACTTTTGGGCATTTGGGTTATTTCTATGGCAGACATGAATTTTTAACAAGCCCTCCCAGGATTGGAGCTAGAAATTTTAACCTTGGAAATAAGGACATTTTTCTAAAACTCCTTGGCAACCTCTTTGATTAAAAAAAAAAAAAAAGCATGGAAGAAGAAAGGGCAGTCACAAAAATAAGAATGAAGTTGCATCAAGAATGGACAAGGGCCATGGGAGATGAGGAAAAAACAGCTATAAGTGATTAATTCTGTTTGCGTTGTAGAGATGAATCTGCATCTGCAACTTACTATTTCCAGGACCAGTGTGCTGCAGAAATAGCAAACCAATCTTGGATCTATTTTAAAATCATAAAACAAGGAGAAAGGGAGCAATATCAACGAAATGAGCAGGTACTTGCAGTAAAAGTAGTTTGGACTAAAATGAATATGCAAAATGATGACTGGCAAATTTAATTTTACAGATGACTTTCTATGCTCCTGACTCTCCTGCTTTTCATTCCCAAAAGATCTGTCAGGAGATTCTCTGAGCAATAAAAGTAATTAATGTAATGTCTGAGTCACTGTATAAGTAATGAGAAACACAGAAATCCTAGAAGTTAACAATAACTATTCCAAATTCTTTTACATAGATCTTCTAATTTTGGAAGCTCAAAATAAATTCATAGGCCCCTCCACTTCCCTCCAAGATTGTCTAGGAGAAAAAATACCTTTCAGAGAGGTAGTATTAGAGAGTATTAAGAATGCAGGCCCTAGAATCCAACTTTCTGTGAATCCTGGCACCATCATTTTTCAGTGGAATCACCTTGGACAAGTTACTTTCTCTCTTTGTTTGCTTCTATGCTTTGTTATAAAATGAATAATAACAGTATTTTTCTCACAGAGTTGTTGGGGAGATTACTTGAAATAAAGCACATCGATTCTGCGTGTGTGCCGAGATTTGTAGTGGGTGCTTTATACCTAACTTATTGCAATTAATACCATCCACATTTCACTGAGGTTGGCATTTATTAGACAGCAAATGGGAGCTCAGAAAGGCTAAGTTAATCATCACACAGTGGGGTAAGCAATGAACCAGGATTTGGGCTAAGCTATAACTGCCACTGTCATTGTACTAAGCTGTGTTCTAGTCACTAATCCCTCAGACATTACTAGCCATTGACAATTTTTTCCCACATGTGAGCTTGACACAAACTGTATTATTTCTTCTTCTTATAATCATATTAGGTACGGCAAAGAGCAAAGGAGTGTTCCCAGGCTCTCAATTTGATTCTTGACATTGATTCTGGGAAACCAGAGAAGAATGTATTAGATTTAGACTTTGATTTGAAACAACTGGAGGTGAGCTAACAAAATCTTTTTTTTTTTTTAGTACTTTATACCCTGTAGTACTTTATTGTTTCTGCTTTCCTTGTACAACACGTTTAAAGGATTGCCAATGAACTAGAAAGGTAAATATAGTAATAAGGAATGCATTAGGTTGAGCATCATATGATGTTGCCCGGTCAGTTTTGATATCTAAAATGGCAATTTCATATGGTCCAACTTAATGGACCTATTGTAATTTCTTGGATGGCTCTTGAATGATTTTGAGGTTGATCTTGAAATGGTGGTAAAAGTGTTGGGCAGAATGTAGGGAGAGGGTGGAAGAATAGCAGACCAAATGGACACGTGACCAAAGTCTCAGATGTGTGTACAGAGAGGCAGAGTACAGAGGGTAAATAGAGAGAACTAGAAGAACTTCAGTTTGAGTCCAAGATGGCAGTTTGTTTTTCGGACACAGTGAAATGTTTGCGATTCCTCAGCCAGCCTCTTCCCCCCATGCTGCCATACCTTTATACATTGACCTGGCACAGCCTTTCTTGCCGAGCGAGTCCTGTTAGTCTTCTACCCGAGTCAGGAGTACCTGCTCCAAGCAGCTGCCAGGGAGCTTGGTGCCCACTTCTGGCCTGAGTTAGTCACCTCTCTGCGTGCCCCTTACCACTCCTCCGCTGTGTTTGCATCCCTGTGTCTATATCTCTTTTTTTCCCAATAAACTGTGAACTCATTGAAAATGATCTGCAGAGCCTGCCACAGAGCAGGTGATATAAATACTCATGGAGTGAACAAATGGGTAATTACAGAGTAGGGAGAGGCAGAAGTCAGTTGTGATGTGGATGTTTCAAGTGTGGGTCGCTAAGAAGATCATAACGTTCACTTTTGAACTTTTTGAATGCTCAAAGCGTGTGTATGTTTGTGTATATATACGTATATGTACACACACCTGTGTCTATATATGCACATATATGTGTGTGTGCATGTTTCTCTTAAAATTCTCTTAAACTTAACCATGTGTCAGAAATGGATAATAATTCAGATTCCTAGTAGTCTGTGTTTCTAACAACTTGTGAACAGTTATGAATTTGTATCATGCTTTCTCACATAGGGCTCTATCGATAGGAATAAAATAGCCATTATTGGACATTCTTTTGGTGGAGCCACAGTTCTTCAGGCTCTGAGTGAAGACCAGCGATTCAGGTAAGAAAATAAGGCAAAGAAAAAGAAGAGTAAGTTATTGGAAGATGAAAGTGACAATTCATGTAAGACAGATTTTTTTAAATCCAAATTTTTGTGAAGAAGTTTCTTCTATATTTTCTTAGGCAGAAGTCATCTACTTCTCCTGTTTTTACTCCTATATATTTTCTTTCACAATTTTTATTTATCTTTTCAAGGGCTTAACATTTTCATTTGGCAAATATATGTATATTTATCTATGACATAATGATTATGATATTAATATTGCGATCTTAACAGTATTTCTAGATTTTCCCAAAAGGCCGGACTTTTTTTATTAATTCTTTTCCATCTTAAGATGAAGTGAAATAAAAAAAATATGCAATTACTTGGCTAGGAGTCAGACTAGAGTTCTCAGCCTTGTAACTTGCAGAAATATTTTCTCTCTTGAACACTTCATGTCCGAGTGATGAGGTCAGGTAGGACCAAATCTTTTGTGAAATCTCATCTCACAGTTCAAAAGCTCTTTTTCAATGTAAGAGAATACTTTCTTTTTTCACTCATTGCACACATAAAACATTATTCAAAAAGTTACTTTTAAAATATAGTAGATTTATAAATTATAAATTCCATATGTTTTACTTGAAACCTCAAACACCTTTAAATGTAAAGGTCACTCTGTAAAAGAGATAATAAATATACTACAAAGTGTCTAAACAGTAATGGTATAAAATACTTTTGGACTAGTACATTTCTTTGGAAGTAGTGTGTTTATTATGCTTTTCCAGATATTACACACTGTTGAAGAAATTATTTTAAAATTTATTTTGAAGCTAATATAACCAAAATGTGTGATAACATTTTAAAGTTCAAGTATTCCCAGTGCCTACTCAGGAAAATTGCTATAGTTCATAAATGATTATTATGGTATTATGATAGCCCATGATAAACTGACATGGTGTATGTCCATTAATCTTTTTTAGAAACCCCCATCTGTCATCTAGCGTGTAAACAGCCTTTTCTCATTGCACCCATAGATGTGGTATTGCCCTGGATGCATGGATGTTCCCACTGGGAGATGAAGTATACTCCAGAATTCCTCAGCCTCTCTTTTTTATCAACTCTGAACGGTTCCAATACCCTGACAATATTGAAAAAATGAAAAAATGCTACTTACCTGATAGAGAGAGAAAAATGATTACAATCCTGTAAGTATTACCAAATGACTTACTTCACCATCTGAAACAGGAATTTCCAACTTGGTTAAACATCAACAGTTATATTTGGTTGCCATCATAGAATTGTTACATTCGTCATTTAGACTTGTAACAAGATAGACTATTAGATCATTTCCATTTTTAGGTGCATTTAGACTTACTCTTTTTTAAGTGCTAATATGTTGAGTAGTGTTAGTACATGAGACTCATAAACAGGCAGAATTCACATTAGGATATGTGCTTTCTTAAGTGCGAGAGCAGACCCATGCATTGTGTGTGGGGGGGGAGGGGGGAAGGAGAGCCTAAGGTAGGGAAAAGTATTTCATCATTAGGCAAGACTAAGACCTCTTTAAAAAAAAAAAAAAAAAAGATTTATTTTTTATTTATGCATACAGAACTGGGGTAGAGGCCAGAGGCACAGGGGCGGTGAGAGGATTCACCAGAGACAGAGTGGGGAGCAGAACAGGCCGACTGATGAAGTACACTGCTGAGGGGAGCAGCGGGCAGGTCAGGAGAGGTCTGCTGCGCCATGTGGTCACCTAGGGCAGATTGAACTCATGTGGAAGTGGCATTAGCTTCTCAGTGCTGTGCTTTTACCACCCTACACAACCAGGGAGGGCTCAAGACTAGGAAGTCTTTAGAAAAAAATGCAGTCCATCTGTTGAGACATGCAACGGCTTTACCTTTTTGAAAAGAATATGCATTTATAAGTTCCCAAAGTAATGGGGTCCCCTTGAGCCTCATGAAAGTGAACAAAAGTACTCCTGATAGGATTTTGGACTCACCCCTTTCCTCCAAACCCATTTTATAAAGAAAAATTGGCAGAAAGGAGACACATACAGTATAGAAAATAAACATTGTGGGATCAGAATGGTAGGTGGTGGTCAGAAATGACTGTTTGGAGTAGAGCAGGGTCTCCGAGGATCAAGAGAGCTCAAATAGCTGATGAAGAACGAACTAGGTTCACACAAGTCATTTATTTGCATGTCTAAGTCAACTGAATTCTAAAACAGAAATAACACAGAACACTTACCCTCTGCCTCCCTTCTTAGACTCTCACTTTTTCCTTTCTCCTCTGCTAGCCACCTTGAAAGAATAACTTACACTTAATATTTCATTAACTCTTTACCTTCTGAATTCTGACTTTGAGTCCCCACCTATGTACTGGAAGTGGCCCTGGGGAGGCCCTCAAAATCCCAAAACCAATATGCAGTCTCATCCTGTCTGCATCCACCTTCTCCCCCTTTCCTCCTCTCTGCTACCACAAGCCCACTCCTCCTGCTTCTCCTGCTCTTGGGGCTGCCCCCTTCACCCCTCACTGCCCTCTCTGGCTCTCAGCTGTCCATGGCATCCAGGCTTTGCCCTCTCTGGCTCTCAGCTGTCCATGGCATCCAGGCTTTGCCCTCATCCCTCTTGTGCCCTCCCTACCTTCTTTATGCTTCTGACACTCAAGTGTTGGTAGTAAAATGAGGAAGAATGGGAGCAAGCCAGGGAGCTCTGCTTTTAGTCTCTGTAACTGGAAGAATGGTGGTTTGCTTCCGAGCAAAGTAAAGGGAAATTGTTCGAACCAGCTGGGGCTGGGGTAGTGTATTTTGCAATTGCATAGCTGGACACTGGGCAATCAGAAGTGTGATACCTGACACAAATTGGGAAAGTATAGAATTTGTTTGGCATTACAGATGAAGCCTATGGAGTAGGTGAGACTACAAAATGATTAAAATATTCCACTTAGAACCCTGAGAAGTACTACAGGTAGATGAAGAGCCAGTGAGCACCAGCGTAGTTTGGAAGGAAGGGAAACTGTGATGTTAAAGAAACAAAGAGGGAAGAAATATAAAATAACAGGTATCAAATGTCCCAGAGGTAGGTGAAAATGAACATAGACCATTCTATCTGTTGTTATGCTTTTAGGGAACTTAAAGAACAGCATAAGCAGTACCGACAGTTTATATTATTTATATATCATATTTATAGTTTATATAATTGATTAGGTGCTTGTGGTTTAAATAATACAATGAGAAGTCTAATTTAAAAAACTCTTTTTGGCCCTCCCTAATGGCTCAACAAGTTAGGACGCAGCACTGCAAGCTAGCCACGGTCACCTCAGTGCTAGTTGGATCCCCATCCCAGGCGTTGACTCACATGGTGCCGCAGACCTCTCCTGACCCGACCGCTCTGCCTGTCTACAGTGTACTTTGTCAGTCTGCCTGTTCTGCTCCCCACTCTGTCTCTGGTGAATCCTCTCACTGCCCTTGAACCTCTGGCCTATACCTCTATATGCATAAGTAAATAAATCTTTAAAAAAAAAAAGATTTAAAAAACCTTTTTATTTCAAGACTTAAATGCAAAATGTTGTGACTAGCACTGAATAGGTCCTCAGCTAAGTGGCTGTGGCTGGGCGGCAGGCGTCTATCTCCATCAGGCCCCCCATTAACATAGAACACATCCCTCAAGTGGAAAGTATTCTAGTTCCCCAAAGGCTGGACTCATTTCTTCTAAAGTAATACCAAGTCAGACAGAAGTCTTTGAAATGTTTATCTAGAAGGGAAGATGGATATATACTCTAATAACCCTAAATGAATACAGTCTGTGACCCTCAGCTACATGTAAGGAAATCAAATCTTGAAGTTTGTGCACATGGCGTTTGGTAAGTAGGCCCACCACTCATCACCCTTTCCTGCACCCTCACTGCAATCAATAATTCCATCAACATGATGTATAAAGGTCTTATTTCTTTTTCAGGGGTTCAGTCCATCAGAATTTTGCTGACTTCACTTTTGCAACTGGCAAAGTCATTGGATACATGTTCACGTTGAAAGGAGAAATAGATTCAAATGTAGCTCTGAACCTTAGCAACAGAGCTTCATTAGCATTTTTACAAAAGCATTTAGGTAAGAAGCTAATCTTTCTCATGGCATAAAACAAATGATTCTCCTGACAAAACTTTGTCTTAATATAGCTTTAATCCCACTTGAACTGTCTCCAGATTGGCTTACAATTTAACATAGCAGTAAATCAGTTTGGCGACAAAAATGAGAATTTGAATTTTGCTGTGTTGTATACTGCGTAGCTTAGAGAGCCAGTCTGCAGGTAAATCTAAGATGCTTTCTGTAGATTTCCATGTCTCAATCACAGTGTCCCAATCCCATCTTTCATTCCGATGAAGATACTGCAGTGACCAGAAGGCTGCCCACAGTTGGGGTCAGCAGGCTGAGATTTCTGTAATTCATGATGCTATGGTGCCATCTAGAGGAACAGAGTTGTTACATGCTCTCAAAAGCTTTATTTATTTGAATTAACTTTACCTATTTTCTTATATCGTTGTTTATTTTTGCACAGTATTCAATTTCTCCCCTCTGTGGAGTCCCCATAGTTCTCCCACTACCACAGCATCCATTAACTGTCGCCACAGTGCCTTGTGCTCTTCCCTCCCCTATTTGACCACTCTCCTCCACCTCCTGCATATGGCTCAGACCTGTGGTCAGCTTGCAAGTTTTCTTTTCCCTTTCCCTATAGTTTATCTGTATTCTGCCTATAAGTGAAATCATCTGATATTTATCTTTTTCCTTCTGTTTTATTTCCCTTAGCATAATCTCTTCCAGCTCTACCCATGTTGCCTCAAATAGCAATATATTTATCTTTCAAAAGCCTAAAACATGTATTAATGTTTGTATTTCACAGGACTTCAGAAAGATTTTGACCAGTGGGACACCTTGGTTGAAGGGAAAGATGAAAATCTTATTCCAGGCACCAACATTGTCACATCCAGCCAAAATGCCTGTCTTTCGAATGCTACAGGAGTTAATAGCACATAGATTACAAAAGCTTTTTAAAAAAAAAAAATTTTTGTTCTAAAATTAAGAGGTGTGTGATTTTGATGTGTTTTCTAAAAAGAAAAACCTCATATAAAAAATGTAGGCTATCTGATAATACAGATTGAAACATGGAATGTTTCCCCTTTTAATGTAAACAATTTTGTCTATAAAAATCATGCTAGCCTAAACAGTAATGGTATAATGCTTCTTTTTCAGTGTCATTATTAAAAATTGTGTTTGCATAACCCAATGGACTAATCTCTTAAAATCGGTACAGGGCAATGAAACATGTTGCAATAACATACCCTAAAATTATAATAAAATCTATTTCTTGCCTTTGTTTTCTCTACTATGAGCAGTAGACTTGAGTTTCAGTGGTATGATGTTCTAGTTAGAATATGGCAACCCTTTTGACTTTTGGTCATGGTAAGAAAAATTAGCTCAAATGGAAAATGAAACAGTTGCTATACCACAAAGTTAGAGATACAGCTTCAACCTGGGGATTAAATGGTGAGATTAAAAGTGTAGGAATATTGGAGACAAGCCACAAACAGCATGTTAAAGGAAGATGAACTTCTGTTTGCGTGTTCCTTTGATGCCTCATCTCTGATGCATTCTGCATTGTAAAGAAAGGTTTTGCTGGTGTTGCTGCTATGTAAGTCAGGTGAGGAATTTCATTTAAACACACTACATGAGTGATTCACCCAAGACTGTGATTTATAACAAAGGAAACATTCAGAATTACACTTAACCACTTCACTTGCCTATTAGTTTTATTTAGTGAATAATTTTAATTTAACATGCATGAGTGGAAGTAGAAAAACAAATGGATTTAAAATGAGAGTTTAAAATTTTATGCACTCAAACATCTGGGTGTCATTGAAAGTATTTTTTGTTTCCTAAGAGATAAATGAATGTCATCAAGTATATATTTTTGTCTAAATATTGTTTTGTCCCCATGAATTCTTCATAATGAAGTTGAATTAAGCCAATTTTAACAGAGAAAATAATACATAATAACCAAATCTCCTTAACTGTATCTGTTCCTTTTTGCCCAGTTAAGAAGGAACTGTGTCTTTTGATTTAGCACCTCAGGCCTATTTTAGTGCCTTAAGATAAAACAAAACAAAAATCCATTCCTTTTGACAAATTTGACCTCTCCGATACTATAGCTGTTCAGATTAAAAGTTTTAAAACAGGGAACTAAACTACCCTTAACATGGAACTGAAGACTGTACTCTGGCTCTACTACATCATCTTCTCTGACTGTTACTCCCAGTAATCATAGCAATATTGCCTGTATGAGTGAGCCAAACTGTCTATTATCAGAGGAACTGGAAAGACACTTATCTACCTCAGTTCATTGAACCCCCCCCCCACCACCACCTCTCAAAAGTTCTTGATTCTCATTTTTTTTTTAAGATTTATTTATTTATTCATACAGAACTGGGGTACAGGCCAGAGATGCGGAGGATGAGAGGTTTCACCAGAGACAGAGTGAGGAGCAGAACAGGCAAATCAATGAAGTACACTGCTGAGGGGAGCAGGGGGTGGGCGGGTCAGGAGAGGTCTGCCATGCCATGTGGATCTCCTCAGGGGCAGGCAGGGATTGAACTCATGCGGAAGTACCTTTTGATTCTTAGTGCAGTGCTTTAACCCGCTGCGCCACCAGGAAGGGCCCAGTTCTTGATTCTCATTCAAGGTGTGATAATGCTTCATGTACATATAACTTTACCTCATACCCACACAGTAAGCTTACCCTTCTTTGTTTTAGAAATGGATAAACCATCCTATTCTTGATAGTTCAATGCCAAAAGAAGAGAGTAACTGCTCAAAGAATCCAATGGACTTACTTTTTAAAATAATAATAACCTAGCATAGTGCACACTAGTATCTTTCAGGGAAAGCAAGGACATTTTTATTAAATACTCCTTTCAGTCACTTTAGATAAATTATTTGTAATCTTAAGTCATTGCAAGAAAGGAGTTATCTTCATTTCGTAGATGAGGAAGATCAAGATTCAAACACATTATAGAATTTTCCCAGGTCCTATATCTAATAAGCAGCATATAGTTTAAGATCTGTGTTCTAAAGATAGGACTTTCCATACACCTCTATACAAAACCATGTTTAAAAAGAATTGGCTTTGAAGTTAGATAGCTCTGGGTTTGATCAAGTGCCTGAAACTCTGAGATGGATTCTTTGAGCAGAGGTAAGTTTTTTTAACTTCTGTAAAAAGCTTCAAATTTCTCACCTATAAATATGGAGATCAATACTGCAAAGTAAAGGACTGAATGAGAAAATATACTTAAAGTACTAGCTGAGGAGGAACAACTGAAAGTTACCACTTAACCTTTACTGCATTTTCCCAATTATAGAGTTGTGGACCATTACTGTTGGTGTTCCAGAAGCACAGATACCCCAGCATCCTATTTCCTTTTTAATGAAATAAGATCACCGTGCCTTTCAGGACAAACTTTATTCAAATGTTGTCATATTAGAATACATTAAAATTCAAACAGAATAATGAGTCAAATGGTTAACTACATACATAAAGCCACAGAAACAAAACAAAAATTCTGTAGAAGTTACTGCTAACAAAGTCTTTCTACAAGTAGCATCATATAATATACTCTAAATTATAATTTTTCTATTGTAATTTAAACACTGCATCCAAAAGAAACCAAAATAGATTTTTTTGTGAAATGTAATGATAGCAGACTGTTTAGCAAAATAAATCCTCCCAACTGATTAGAAATATAACACATTTAATAAAGCAAGAGAAAAATTCCATGCTCATGTATATGCAGCAATTCTATAAAGCTACTGTATAATCAAACTGAGCTTTGGGTTTTGACACATATCAAAGTTTTCAAAATTCTTAACTTCTTGATGTCACATGTTCTCAGGTTTCTCACTCTGTTGATCTGGGTAAGATGCTATTTGCTTAAGAGCAGATTCTAACTGACAGGTCACCTCTGGATCCACAGGTATATCTATATCAACATCAGACCCCTTTTCTGAAACAAGCCCTAAGTTAAGAAACAAAAAAAGAAAAGAAAATTATATAAACGCTTTTGTGGCAAATTTAATGTCCTCTAAGAGTAGAACTGGAAATAAATGAGAATTATTCTTGCAGATTTTTTTTCTATGTTAGTATTTTGGTTTTCACACTATACCTAACTATCAAACAAAGATTATGTAAAATAGTATAATATCAAATTGGCTACCAACAACTGGTTTTATTTGCAATGTGCCTCAATTCTAAGATCCAAAATGCTAACTATCAAGATCACAATAACCAGGAATATTCAGCAAAATGAGTATTTTTCATGTAAATAAGCTAAAGATATCTAGGAAAAATTTAAAGAGATTGTTTAACACACAAAGATCATTTGAAAACATAGAGCTAATTAATACTGAGAAAATCTTTCAAAATTTGTTGAATTCATCAGCTAGACGATTCAATTTTTAAGATTAATTCAATGAACAAGCAAACTTCCTATGATAAAGCAACAAATTTGCTTCTTAGCTTTTTATTCTCATAAGCACATTTAATGCTTTTAGTGAATGTGTTTTATTTATTTATATTATTAATATATAAGGAAATTGATAAAGCATTTTTGTTTGGGGATTCAGTGTCATAGTATCTTTAAGACTTAGCAATCTGGGTAATAAAAGCTTTTTCTTTAAGAAATACATTACCATTAACTGCAGTATCATCTGATGACATGAAGTAAAGATCGTTTCCCACTGTTTGGAGCACAGCCTAACAGGAACAACAGGAATCTTTGGGTTATTACCAATTCTTTGGTAAGGAATGAAATAATTAAAATCAGAAGAGACCAGAAATAAAAACAGAATAAAATGGAAATCACAAAAAAGTGATGCTTTGAAAAGTCATCAATGTGATTTTATCATGAAGAACTGCCCTAGGAGCATTTTCTATTTTTCAAATACTTCTCTGGAACATCTCCACCGGGGCATTCTACACTAGAGTAAAATACTACTTTGCAAATTCTAACCCCCAATCCAACAAACCTGATGTTTGATGTATTCTTCAAGGGGCTGCTATTCAAACTTTCCCCATGGTGACCTACAATGATTTTCTAAAGACTGAAGAAATATATTTCTCCTATATTTCTTTCAATAAATAAGTGTTATGTATGCCTCATATTTATTTTCTTTAAGATTTACTTATTTATGCATACAGAACTGGGGCACAGGCCAGAAGAGCAAGGGTGGTGAGAAGATTCACCACAGACAGAGGCGGGAGCTGAACCAGGGCAGATTAAGGAAGATCACTGTTAAGGGGATTAGTGGGTGAGACCTGAGAGGTCTGCTGTGGGATGTGTGTCACCTCCCTGACCCGGTATCAACTTGCGCTGAAGTGATTGCAGTCAGTTTTGCAACCCTGTATCTTTACCTGCTTATTGTTTTATGTTCACTTTAAATTGTCTGAAATGGTTCTCCTCTATTTGGGCAAAGGGTAGTTCATTCAAATTGAATCATGTATATATCTGTGCATTTGGCTACAGATTCCTGAAAATTAATGGGTAGAAGAGATCAGAATGCAAAAGAAAAGTGTGGACAATTGAGGCAAGGCAAGGAAAGTACACTATTATTTTTGACAAACACAAATGGAATTAATAGAAGGTGCAGACTTTTTTCATTGCAAAAGTTCAAATGACCTTTTGCAAAAGGAGAAACAAGGAGACATGAACTAATAAAATAAAACTGACCAATGAAACCAGGACAAAGAACCTTTGTTATCTAAATAGTAAGGGCAGAAGGGAAGGTTATACTTTCCTCTTTTTGTATCTGTTTTACTCCAAAGCAAGCTCAACCAAGCAGAACTGGGTGAATACACAGGAGGAAACAGAGACCATGCTTTCTGGCCAGAGTTCAGAAAAGGGGCCACTCCAGGCGACTTAAAATAGGATCCTGGGATCCAGAAAGGATGGAGGAAATCTCAGAGAGAAAAATAATTAGAAAATTGTAACCCCAAATACTATAGGTGAACTTTTATAAGCCCCAAGGTCACCCCTGAGCTATGTGTATGAAGGCTAGAACCCAATGAAGAAGCATAGCCAAGTTTTAATGCCCGCTCTGTTACAGACACTGCTTAAATCCCAGATCAAGTTCTGAGTGACTTCTGTCCTGGACATAACTAAACAACACAGCAATGGCTCTGAAAACTGAATTGACACTGGATCATAGAAGCAGACACAGAATTTTTGGTATAATGCTAATGAGTTTGATCACCTGCTAGATAAAATAATATATATTTTTCATTAGACTTTAACAGGATCCAGTGTTTTATAACACAATATTGAAACACACAGGACA